ATTAGGTTTATGGGATTTTCTTTCTCTTCTTCTTTTTTTTAAATTTGTTCTTATTATTTAGACAGTAGAATGTGTTTTTGACATATTATACATATATGGAGTATAACATCCCATTCTTCTGATTGTACATGATGTGTAATTATATTGGTTATGTATTCATATATGAACATAGGAAAGTAATGTCCAACTCATTTCTACTATCTTTCTTATTTCCACTTCCCTTCCTATTCCTTCATTCCCCTTTGTCTAATCCAATGAATGTTTAGTCTTCTCTCCACTTATTGTGTGCTAGCATCCACATATCAGAGAGAACATTAGGCCTTTGATTTTTTGTGATTGGCTTATTTCACTTAGTATGATAGTCTCCAGTTCCATCCATTTACTGGCAAATGTAAGGCCTTTCTTAACAATCACATTTCTACTATTTAGACAGATCAAATGGTACATCAAGTTAATTTATTTTCTTTTTCCAACTTGAGGACAATTATCATTTACCTTTCTTTGCTGTGTTTTATTTATCATACATACATTTTCCATCTTCCAAGATTGCAAGTGAAAGGACACTTGCAGAGTCCACATACAGTCCAAAGACCATGCCACACACCAGAATCCCATGCAAGAGATTTATTGTAGGTAGCAGGAGGCATACTGACAAGGCTGTGCCTCCCAGGAGAGCAGCAGCCTGTTGGCTCTCACAGAGCAGCTTTATAGCCCGCAAGAGGAATCTCATAAGCTGCTTGGGAGTTTAAACTGTGGTGGGGTTGGTTGTAAGCTGCTTAGGAGTTTAAGCTGGGGTGAGGTTGATCAGTTTCTTTTAGCAGGCACGTGTTCTTATGGGAAGTTAAGTAGCGTTGCATCAAATCAAAACTTTGGAAACTCTAGATAAAATGGTTCCTGACCTAAAATGGTGAATCTGATGCCAATATTGATCTGATGTCAGTATTGTTCTGATGACAATAGCAAGTTCACCTTTTATCTTCTGTTATCTTTTCTCACATTTACTTCTGAGTTTTTTCCCTTTTAATAGTGTAGTCATTTTGTTATGGTTTCTGGAAGGAATAGACATAAATATGTCTTCACCCAAGAAGATCTTAGGTGCAGATAAAGGAGTAAGAAAATAAGAAACATGGGGATTTCTGTTTTCTACTTTTATATACTACATTGGTATGTAATGCCAGTTAGTTACATTTGCCACTAATTACGTGTGTAATTGTTTAATCCTTGTCGCATGTGTACTTGTGAGGTTTAATGTTTTTGTATACTATTGTATACAGTTGTATTTCTTTTATTAATTGCCCTTCATGATCACTATTAATCTCTTTTTACATATTAAAATTTTCAACTGGTTTCATATGGTGAAAATATGTAAGCATTTCTTTCCATTACAACTTTTTAAACAAATTACTCTTCTATTTTTAGATAACTATTGTTTTCATTTTCCTATACTTTTTATTTTCTTCTTCATTGGGAGAATCAATTTCTAGAATAAAGAGAATAAAGACAAAGAATAATCTGATGTAATGCTCTGATATAATTAGCTTTATATAAAAGCATGAGTTTCATTATGAGAGAAAGTGAAGCCTGTGATTATTTATCAATTGTCAGTCTACAGCCTGAGATCCCGGGTCTGCTTCCCAAATATCATGCTTTAATTTTTCTCTTAAGGAATGAGCTGAAATTCTTCTATAAGGAAGAATGCACTGATAGGAGTACAGCCAGTACCAAGTATATTTTCTAACTTCAACGCAGTTTGACAAGATAGTAGAAAAACCCAACAAAAAGGGAAAAGAAGTCAAGGTTGTTGACTTTAGAAGCACCTTAAATTTCCTCTGTTGTAAGGGGACAGCAGCTTAGAAGGAAAACTATAGTAAATATAAGGGAAATAACAGAAGCTATCATGATGGGAGTCTAATTGTATTATTCCTTTTTTTTAAAAGAGCATTAAAATTATAGTATTTGGGTTCATTTTGCCAAAATCATACATGAAGAAATTTGATTTCAGGCCCCACTTTTCCTCCTCTCCTCCCTTTTTCTATTCTCCCTCCTCTACTAAACTTCCTTTCTTTTACATATACATAAATGTGAAATTCCCTTTGCACATTTTATATATGAATATAACATGATTTTGTTAAATTTATTCCATATTCTCTTTTTCCTTTCTTCCTCCCTCACTCTCTTATTCTCCTTCTTGTACCCCACTGATCTTTCCTGTATCATTATGATATACAATCTTCTTGGCCAACTGCCACCTTTCTTTTGCTTTGCTCTTGCTTCCACATATGAGAGAAAACATTTGACCTTTGATTTCTGAGTCTGGCTTATTTCATTTAGCATGATTTTCTCAATGTCCATCCATTTACCAGCAAATACCATTATTTAATTCTTCTCTATGGTAGAGTAAAACTCAATTTTGTATATATGCCACATTCTCTTAATTTGTTCATCTCTTGTTAGGCACTTCAATTGATTCCATAATTTGACTATTGTGAACTGTGCTGCTATAAATATTGAAATGGTTGTATTTGTATATTGTGATGATTTTAGATCTTTTGGATAAATACCGAGGAGCAGGGTAGCTGAATCACAATGGTGGTTCCATTCCTAGTTTTTTGAGGATTTCCACACTGCTTTCTAGGGTAATTGTACTAATTTGCATACCCTTCAAGAATGTAAGAATGTACCTTTTTCCCCACATCCTTGTCAGCATTGATTACTGTTTGTGTTCTTGATAATTTCATTCTGACTGAAGTGGTATGAAATCTTAGTGTAATTTTCATTTGCATTCCCCTAATTGCTAGAGGTGCTGAACATTTTTATCATATTTTTGTTGGCCATTTGTGTTTCTTCTTTTTGAGAGTGTGTTTTTAGTTCTTTTGCCCATTTATCGATTGGGCCATTTGTTGGGAGAGCATTGAGGGTTTTTTTTCTTGAGTTCTTTATATATTCTGGATATTAAAAGTTCTTTATATGTTTTGGGGAAAAAATCCCCAGTCAGCGGAATAGCTGGCAAAGATTTTCTCTCATTTTGTAGGCTCTTTCTTCACTCTTAATCATTTTCTTTACTGTGCAGAAGCTTTTTAATTTGATGGTATTCTATTTACTGATTCTTGGTTTTTATTTCATGAGCTTTAGAGTTCTTGTTGAGGAATTGGTGCCTGCACTTATATGATGGATTGTTTACCCCTATATTTTTTTTCTAGCAGTTGCTAGGTTTCTGGTCTCATTTCTAAGTCTTTGATTGATATTGATTTGACTTTTGTGCAGGGAGAAAGATAGGACTATAAATTCATTCTTCTACATATGGACATCTAGGTTTCCTAGCACCATTTATTTAAAGGGCTGTCTTTTCTCCAACATGTATTTTTGGTACCTTTGTCAGTATTAGATGGCTTTAAACATTTGAGTTTGTTTCTATGTATTCTATTCCATTGGTCTTCGTATCTATTTTTATGCCAATACCATGCTGTTTTTGCTGCTTTAGCTGTATATTATAATTTAAGATCAGGTTTTTTGATACCTCCTGAATCACTTTCCTTGTTTAGAATTGGGTCTCTCACTTTTTCAAATGAGATTCATTCTTCCAAATGAATTTTAGGGTTGTTTTTTCATAATATTATTAACCTCTATTCAAATAAATTTTTAAAAATGAATAAAATTTACATTTTATTAGAAAAATGCAAACTACCCTAGAAGAAATAAAAACTATCTGAATAAGTTAAGAATGAAAATCTCCTCCACAAAACTCTAATATCATATTTTTAATGGCAGTTCTTATTCCCCCATTTAAAAAATTGTCCCAATCAAGAATGTTTTCATTACCCCAGAAAGTTTCTTTGTGCCCAGTACAGGCCAGTAGGCTGGATGAGCCATGGGCCATAATTTGCCAAGCTATGATGTCTTCAGTGAACAAAAGCATACTACAGTTATATCCACATTATATGTGGGAAATCTCAGGGATAAAAACCTGTAGTGTTATCATTCAGATTCAAATGACTTTATTCTTCTATTAACCCCATGGCAATAGAATTTTTTAAAAAAGCAGATAAACTGTTTTTAGAAGATTCTCTTCTTATTCTCTTAAAATAGGAAACATTTGGAGGAACTAATCTCTTTCTTATTCAGTTACAATTTTTAGAATGTGATAAGAAACATTATTGCTGGATTCCTGAGAATCTTCTTTACAAATCATTTTATATGTGATTGTTTTCCCAAAGTTTGCATTCCAGTGCAAAAAAAAAATAGAAAACTGGTATGATATAATTTATTATTTAGATTTTGATGTCTTATAAGCCATTAACATCCACATTATTTAAGTATATTTAAATAATATAGGTAATCTATTATATATTTATTCAGTTCTTTTGCAAAATCAGTTTTATGAAGCAATTCCTTTGTGACCTACAGTACTTAAGAATTTGTCTATCTGTAGTTTTGCTCAGGGTCTAGGAAGTATTTTTTCCCTGTAAAATATCATAGGCTAGATGATAGTATTTTTGGTGGCTATTAGATAATTTTGACATTCTCTATAAAACAGTAATAGGCCTACCATAGCCACATTGGAATCTGTGTAAAATGTAAAGAAAACATAATAAGATTACCAGAGTACTTTTTATATCCAGGAAAACACTGAAATTGTATGTATTTAACACATTTTTAAGCTGGGCATGGTAGTGCAATACCTGTAATCCTAGTGACTCAGGAGGCCAGCCTCAATAACTTAGTGAAACCCTGTCTCAAAAAATAAAAAGTACTATGGGTGTAGCTTTGTGGTATAGTGCTCCTTGGTTTAATCCCCAGTAACTCCCCCCCCAAAAAAAAACAAGAAAAAAAAGTTTAAATATTAATTATGAATCAGATCCTAAAGTTGAACTCATAAGTGATTGAATAGACTTTCTTAGAGTATTACTTTAAAAAGAAGTTGATATTTTTATCTTAACTAACCAACTGACTATTTTTAATTTTCTTAACTAAAAATTAAATGACTGTGTTTTTTTTTCCAGAGACATCAAACCTGACAATATATTGATGGATATGAATGGACATATTCGGTTAGCAGATTTTGGTTCTTGTCTGAAGCTGATGGAAGATGGAACGGTAAATAAAGAAATACTAAATTACTCTATCCACAAACATTTTCTTTATTTATTTTAGAAACCTACCAGTCTGTCTAGCTATTCATTTGTCTGTCTGTGTTCCATCTCCCTCCACAGTGGTGCTTGGACATGCTTGTTCATTAAAGGGCTTGTCTGTAAAGTCAGAAGCCATTTTACCTGCTCATATTCGTAATCTTGAGATTGATATTTTATGAGTGCTTGTTTGTTCATTAGCTGGTAACTATGTATTATTGTACTTGAGATATTTCTACATTTTCATAAGGTAAGGAAAAAGAAGACTCCTGTAGAAAAAGGAATGTTACTTTATCCCCACTTTTTAAAATTTATTTTTTCTTTCCTAATTATGTATTTATTCTGAGGGACAGTGCTCAACAAATGAATTCATTTTTTTTTCTTCCAGAAAATCTCCTTGGTTGTATGTTCCCATGCTAATGTATTAATTAATTAATATAAACTTTAATTGGTAGAAACTTTTTTTTGAGAAACTTTTTTTGTTTTGTTGTTATTTATTTATTTATTTATTGTTGGTTGTTAAAAACATTACATAGTTCTTGATATATCATATTTCACACTTTGATTCAAGTGGGTTATGAACTCCTATTTTTACCCCGTATACAGATTGCAGAATCACATCAGTTACATTTCCATTGATTTACATATTGCCATACTAGTGTCTGTTGTATTCTGCTGCCTTTCCTATCCTCTACTATCCCC